CGTCCCCACTATAGTGCTATCCAGGCATCTGTGAATTGGCCCAATGTAAAGTTGGCTTTTTAAGGTCTCATGGAATAGCCAGGTACTTGAAAACACTAGGGAAAACATGACTCACTGTTGGAAGCGTTTATTATGGCGTGGGTACATAAAATGTTTTGAGTTATTGATCAAAGTGGCAAACGCGCCAAAAAATGCGTCAAATGCAGGCTTTTTTCTAACGAGGGAAGCAGTTTTTTTGACCGTCGAGCTTCATTGCGCCCCACGCGCTTCTCGCTCTGAAGCCACTAATAACACTAGTAAGAGATCCGAAGAAACAACCTGTTTGTCAGGATCAGAGCTAACCTTCCGTCATGTGAATAGGGTCATATTCTGTCACTGGAGAGAGGGGTCGTATTTTGTCGTGGGGAATTTCTCCTGATTTCTGGCTTTTGCTGTTTTATTCGCGCTATATAGCCCTCTACTTAGCGACGCACCAAAACTATTTCTTCTCATAGCTGATCAGGAGACATCATCGTTGGGGATCCCCTAACAGGGGAGGGTCATATTTGATCGCTGCCGGGGGGGGGGGTTGGGGGATCGTACCTGGTTTGAGAAAAATTTTTTTGATAGTTCACTTTTCTTATTCTAAGGACGCTACAAAGGAGGGAGGAGTAGTATTTGCTCGTTGTTGGAAGGGGGGAGGGGTCGTATTTGCCATCTGGCGTTCAAGAGGTTGTTGCGTTTTCGGTTTTTTTCTCTTTCATATGTACATACTGTATACCCCGCTCCCCTCTCCCTCCCCTCGACAGAAAAACTTATGGGAAAATGTAGGGAACTTCTTAGGAAGTTCCGGAAAAAAAGTGATAGGAAGCTAGGAAAACCTGAAGAAAGTGGTGGGTAGGATGAGGGGTCGTATTCTCCTCGCGGTTTTTCCTCGGCAACTCAATGAGGAGGGAACTGTGAAAGGTCGTCATATCAAATCGCTCCCTAGGTGGGGAGGGGGGGGGGAGGGGAACGGACTCGACCACTTCTCCAACTAATGTGCCCTGTAGTTGATCGACGGTATCTAACCTTCTTCAGTTACTCCCTCCCCACTCCTCCGAAGGGGAGGGGGTTATATCTTGCGGAAATATTTCATAGCCTGACAGTTTTCCCTGATCACGGATGCTGAAGAATATGCTGCAACAATCAGCTCCGCCCACTGCGGAAAGCCCGTCCATACCCGGAAAATGCATCAGTTCAGCAAAGTTGAGACTCGACGTTGCTTGGAATAAATAAGGTAATGTGGCGGCACTCAGTTTACCTCAATGGGCATCGAAATGGCGCCGGCGCTAAAAAACAAGAACTGTATGCGGACCCCATATAGACCCACTATACTGTGCATGGTGTGTATGTGCAT